ATATAAAATTATGTTATTATAGGTCATTCTCTTCGCTATTGTGGCAGCTGCCAGTGCTGGCTATGTAAGTATTTTATAATTATTCTTTAAACATATATAGAATATATATCTTAATAATTTATGTTTTACGTTCGATTCCAAACTGATATGTTATTTATACATTACATATTCCATTATTAATAAATAATATATCATAGAAAGTAGACAATTATATGTCAACATTTGGTTGAAAATATTAAAATGTGATATCAGTTATTAGAATTAGCGAGAATGTTTCAATAATTAAGCGCAAAACAATAATTGAGCATCAACCAATCTCTGGTATATTATTGGATTTTCTACTTAATTATGTCTATTATCTCCATGTTGAAATCCCATCACAATTGCATCAAATCGATCATGCTCGTTTGTGCAATTTTCGTCTCGAAGTTCTCATTGTAGTTGCCGTGGAGCATTTTAAACTCCGTCGGGTTCGCTCACGAAACGATTTCGTAATGGGAAAATACGTTCCCTGGAGAAATTATTATTACATTTTTTTCTGATTTAATTACGTAACGAATGCAATTGAACAATCGCCGTCGAAGGTTTTATCGGTCAATAAAACGCTCTGAATTTTTTTCTAGGTCCAGCAGCATGCCCAGCATATTCATCTCCCCGGAGGACCCGACATCCCCGGCCTCAGAGCCGCCCCGCTCGCTCTCCACGGTAACGATCACACCACCCGCATCCACTGGTCCGGCTCGTACGTAGGGCATCCGAAATTGGTGGGAATCGAGGCTTTCAAACCGGCTCCGAACTACGAGCCCAGCTGGGAGAACGTGGCCGTTCACGGACACGGTGGGCACTAGATTTCTTCACCCGAGCCAGCAGACCCGCTGGTCCGGAGTGGTCCATGCCGAGCGCATCATCCTGAGGCTGATATGAGGCAGCGAATCAGCGACCACCGCGATTGGTGAATGAGATAACGAAAGAGCCTCCGCCGCGAGAGCCTTCTTCCTCTTGTCTCTTCGGCAAGATGTTTCGATTCCGCGCGAGATCGCTCGCCGAGGATTACGGATGTCCGACCTGACGCCCCCCCCCCCCCCTATCCCAGACGGTCGAGAATCTCCGGTCCGAGGGTCGAGGATCACACACAGGAATGTACCGTTACGAAATTGCAATATATCGGCAGATCGAAACAGAATTCGACTGCCTCAGGATAGCCGCCATATCGTGGGCCACTCCGAAGGACCGCCTCCAAAAAAGACCACAGGCAATCACTTGAAAAAAAAGCCTCCTCTGTCTTCCTTCCTCCACTTTCTTCTCTCGTTTTACCTTGACGCTACATATGACACGCATCGTACGAACATCGACAAACAATCAGGTCCTTTGGTGCTCCCATTCTCCATCTCATTTGTCAACATCGAAATTTTGTGCGGCATATTAAAGAAGAGAACACACCATCACACTGCGGCCATCTCTTCCTGTCCCCACTCTTCGTCTTCCGGCAGCAACACTTCTATTTATTTTGTAATAAAAGTCGATTTTTACGTCTTGTGATAAAACATGTCATTTGTTTTATTTCACTTCACCCCGCATATCTTTCGTAATTACAAGGTATCGCGATACGCTAAAAAAAAAAAGAAAAAATGAAAATTATTCAGCCAGATCAAATGTGATTAGATGAAATGATTAGATAAAATTGGAAAGATAAAATAACGATAATAATAATAATAATAGCAAAAAGGTGAACATAATTTTAAAATAAGATAAGAGCTAAATTAATCAAAATGAGAAAAAAACTAGATATTAAAAGCAAATATTAAATAAAATTGAAACGAGTTCGCAGTTTGTTAGACATTTATTAAAATTTATTGGATTGGAAATTCATTGGAAACCGCTAATGCCGCAATGCGTATCAAGTCAATCATGCAAAACAGCTCGACGCTGAATATCGGGTTTGTTGAAGCTTTCAGTAATGATCGGTCAAACAATACGTCAATTTCGCGCAGTTAACTTCATTAATACTGCTATTCGACTGTATTTCACGGTTCTGGCTACGTTATTCGATCGCACAAACTGATATTTGCGTAATATAGCGTTTTCGTGCACTTTGCTAAATAAACCGTTTGTTTGGTTTATTTAATGAAAAATGATTTTATCATATCTAATTCACATAGGCGCGCAACTTTTTTCTTTTTTTAAGGAAGAAATTATCTTTATTAAAAAAAGGTTTACAATTTCCTCACGTTGTTTAGTCTGATTAGGTTTACACATTCGTCAGATTACATTATTTATTTCGCAGGGAAATTTCTTCTCAGTGGAAACTATACAAACGCCTCGACTGCGAATCAATCTAACGTCGCCGAGCAACGGATAATCCAAACAGAGTTACCCTAAAGCTGGCTGCCATTCTTTTCGTCGCGCAACCGACGGTGTCGTCCGCGATGCGAATCACGCATGTTTTTTTGTTGCATGTAATTAGTCGTCTTTAGACGACTAATACTAATATAGAACTTATCGCGATCGCGCCTCGTCGTTGTTCTGCACCAGCTAAGAGAAAGGCACTCTCTCACGAGGATCTGAGACGCATTAACTGCCTCACGGATGACAACTGTCATTGACGTACTTCGTCAGCACGAGCTCGTTGCATCGAGATAGTTCAACAAATTTCTGCATGTGATCTCTCAACTGTGCACATATCAAAAATTTTGGAAATTTGCTCAAATTCTTTAAAATGCTCACGTACATGAAACAATAACATTTTTTTTATTTATATTAAAATTTATTTAAATTTACTCAAATATTTTATTTTGTGTTTTTAGTTTTACTGCATAAATTTTAAAGGGTTATTTTTTACATTAATTCCTACGTTGCAAAAGTTGTATAAATATTTTTCCTAATAAGTGCTTTTTTTTTTGAAACAGCAAAACTATTTTCTAATAATGCATTCTTTAATACTTGATACTTTTTCATGTTTTGTAATCTCAGTAATTACGTTGTACTAAGTCTTGCAATTAATTATAAATTTCTCATAATATCTATATGAACAATAATTTTATAGACTTTCTTACGTTATGCTACTTTATGTTATGTTACTAAAGCGTAATAAAATAATTATTTTAAAAATTATTTACTCAATGTTTGTTAAATAATTAATATCCGTATTTTGTCTCTATATTTTTATTATTAAATATTTATTTTAATAATTAATATTCTGATATTATAATGTACATAGCACATTTTTTTAATTTATTAAAAATTGTTGTTTTATCTAATTTTTTTGTTAATAACTAAACTTTTCTTTTAATAATGAGTAGATATTTAGCTTTAGCTATATATATTTATTGTTAATAGATCTGAGGTTTTATCAAAAAAACGAAGCCACCGGCAAAACAGTTGATTTATTAATCTCGTTAGGTTCTTAGAATCGCTTGCGGTCGCGATTTCAGCATCACGTCTGCGCTTTTCTATGGGAGTTTTACGATTGTCTTTACGGTCTCTGTTCCTTCATTCGGAAAGCACTCTGGGCGCCGCCAGCTTCGAGCGACGATTGCGCAACAGGAAAGGAGGAATTATGCATACCTCGGCGAAACTATTCCGCGGAAAAAGGGACACGATATCCGACCGCACGATCGCTCGGCCGATCGTACGTTCTCGTTTGCGCGACGATCGTTAGCGTTTTTGCTCTATCCCATTCGCGAATATTACACAATCGTTTCGGTTCGTAATCGTATGCTGGCGCATACAATGCGTTACGTTCTTGTGAATTTTTGTGAGGATTCTCATACGTTCATGGGAGAAAGCAAAATGCAGCTGCGCTTTTGCGCACACGTTTATAGAGCACGGAGTTTTGATTTTTAAAAAAATATTACTTGACATATACTAGGTCACAAATAATCATTTTCAAATTTACATAACTTTATTATTATTAAATCGTTTTGAAGTTTTAAAGTTAGTCTTTGCCTTTCAAAGCTGGATTCTGGATATTTGATACCTTTCAATTTGAAATTTTGAATATAGATTGCAAATTTATTCTTTCATAATGGAATGTAAGCGGCTAATATCTCCCTAATGTCAAATCAAAATAGATATGACGGTATCTCATTGAAAATTCTTACGTTCTCCAATTAATTTACTGAAATGGCACGAACCAATCATTTGCATCGAAGTGAACGTCGCCGCAGCGTATTGGAGAGTCCACATTGCCCACCCACCCGTAATTATGTTGCACGTCGCTCCGAGATTTTCAATTTTTTTATCTGGAACTCGAGAATGCAGAATGTCAGCCAGTCTAATATAGAATAACATTTCTTCATAAAATATCGCCGCGAGTCCAGTTTGCAGCGGCATGTTGTTGACTAGCAAATATACAATTATAACTATTGCAGTAATAAGGTGCATTGCGCGAATTATTACTTGCGACAAGGTTTTTCTGGCGTATGGATAGGCAATTTCCTAGCGCTGCAACGACAACGTAAAAAGAGAATCGTTATGGCCCCAAAATGCGATCACGCGAGGTATATTATCTATTGCGATCTATTGCCTACTTACGCAATTCATTTTTTTTCTATGTTGTCTTATTAAATTACTGATATTCTCTTAATAAGTTTAATTTTCATTTAATCATTCTAATATGTTCTAATTTCATTTATATTCTTTTCACAGAATTACTTTTTATTTGTAACAGTTAAAAAATATTAACTTTTATTTTATTTGTTAAAATTTTTTAGGCAGCTATTATGAAATTCATTACAATTATTTTTGATATTGTTAACAATTATATTTTGCGATTATATTTCGTTTTGCTTCGAGATATCGATGAAAAGAGAAAGTGATGAAAATGAGACAAATTCCGGAGAGATATCGTCGAAATTATTAGATCATGTAGATTAATTTACACATTATGTGTACTTTGATATTCAACTGATAACTAACGAAACATCTCGGATTCAAGCCGATTGGCAGAAAATGTGGGCGTATCGTCGATTTTAATCGAGCTGTTGTTAATGATCACATACCAAGTCGGGTAATGATCACTCGAGCGTGGAGAGTAAGCAAGCATGACGCACTGGTGCTTTAATAATTTACATGCACCGGCATTTAATTAGGTTTCCCAGTCGCCCAGTCTGCCAGTAGCACACACCCCCGATGATAAATCTTGATTACTATCCCGACAAATGTATCTCTCGGTCAACC